ACCTGGCCCTGCGCGTGGAACTGGAAGCATTTCCGAGAACGCCACCATAGAGGTCCTGGATTTCAGTCTCTTTCCTAGCAGCCTAAATTTGGCCTCCAGGACATCTCTCCTACCCTTCCCTATGTCATTGGTACCTACATGTACCACGACCACCGGCTCCTCCCCAGCACTACACATAAGTCTATCTAGATGCCTCGAGAGATCCGCAACCTTCGCACCAGGCAGGCAAGTGACCATACAGTTCTCCTGGTCGTCACAAACCCAACTATCTATGTTTCTAACGATCGAATCACCCACTACTAACACCTGCCTCTTCCTAGCTGGCATTCCCTCCCCATCAGAGGTATCCTCAGTGCAAGAAGATACCGCAACATCCTCTGGGAGGAGGGTCCCAACTATGGGATGGTTTCCCTCTGCTCCCATTAAATGCTCTGTTCCCTTGAGACTTTCATCCCCCTTAAGAACACTGGGGCTCTCAGACTGGAGGTGGGACAGTACTACAGTGTCCCGGAAAGTCTCATCAACATAGCTCTCTACCTCACTTAACTCCTCCAGTTCAGCCACCCTGTCCTCCAAAGCCCGAACTCGGTCTCTGAGGGTCAGGAGCTCCTTGCAACGGGTGCACACATACGCCACCCGCCCACAGGGCAGGTAATCATACATGTTACACTCGACGCAATAAACAGGATAGCCCCCACTCTGCTGCTGGGCTTCTGTCTCCATGTTTGTAATGAATAAGTTTAAGTACAAACTGGGATTCTTTTTAAACTTCTGGAGTATAGATTATTCTAAGAGTTGTGTCCTTCTTTAAAACCTAAGTCACTAGTGCCCTCTAAACTCCCCCTCTCCAAACTCTCCTGTTACCTGTTCCTGGTCGCGCTCTCCCTGGTCGCTGAGTCACAGGCTTATATAGCTCTGGTAGACCCTCCCACTGACTGAGGCTCAGCCAATTAACAGAGGCTTCTAGATTTCAAACCTTTTAGAAGCTCCTTCAAACAAACAAACAAACCAAACAAACAAACAAACCAGACAAACACAAGCTCAGCACACTGCAAATAACTCCCCCACACACAAACACACACTCCAGACAGCCACTTACCACACACAAACACACACTCCAGACAGTCACTTACCACAAGGGTCCCGTTTTTATTCCTCTTACCTGGAGAACTCCCTCTCCAAACTCTCCTGTTACCTGTTCCTGGTCACGCTCACCTCCACGCTCTCTCTACTGGTTATCTGAAGAGTGGGCTGTGCCCACGAAAGCTCATGATACCATCTACGTTTTGTTAGTCTATAAAGTGCTACGAGCCCATTTGTTATCATTTGTATGAGCAGCCATGGCATCTCTGAAATATCCTGATTCTTTGTTGCATGCTCTTAGCTCATGGATCTTTTCAGATTGAACTTCCAGGTGATGCCCTAATGCAGCTTGGTCTGTTCTTTCGTTTAGTCCATCAGTATGGAAGACGAATATAGGCATATGTCCTACTGGATGACTAAGAACTGTTTCCTCTGAAACATATTTCCATCTTGATTAAGATAGAGCTCTTCAGAAAACAATTTGTGGACTGATAGCTGCTGTGATCATCGCTCCTTGGGTCCATCTAACAAGGGCTGGCTTCTTTTTTGCAATCCTACAGTCCCACTACTGACCTTTGACAGTTTTCCCTGTTCCCATCTCACTCCAAATTCCATTGAAAAGAACCAGAAGTCTTATAGCAAATTCTCTCCAGAGTCAAAAGCGGGATATACTATTTCAGGGAAATATATCTAAAACATAGATTGATATCTATCTGATATAGTCGGGTCTGTTTGCAATACAGAAGCATGGAAGCATGACATGCTCTGCCATGTTGATGTTTCCAATCATGCACTCACTCTCCATGGACATTTAAATTTAGTGTGAGTACCTCCTCCCTGCTCACACAATTTAACGAGTAAAGTTTCAGAGCACTCAGGACCTCTAATTCTAGAGCTAAGCCATGTAGAGTAAATCTGTACAACTAAGCGCCCACAGTTGGCCCACCTTCCCTGACTGGGCTTGAGCTAAAGGGCTGTTTATTTGTGGTGTTGTCATTTGGGGTTGGGCTGGAGTCTGAGCTTTGAGATCTGAGAAAAGGGAAGAGCCTCTGAGCTCAGCTCCAGCCCGAGCCCAAATGTCTACACCACCAGGCCTATACAAAGTAGGAATGTTAAATTTTGATTATTCAGCTAATCGAGTAGTTGATAGAATTTCCATCAACTACTGGATTAGTCAATAAGGGGGAGCCACGCCTCATCATTTAAATGTAGTAAGAGCCACCTGTGGCTCTTATTACATTTCAAAGGCAAAAGAGCAGCTGGGAACTGCAGCCCTTCAGCCTTTTAAATGTAGCAAGAGTCCCGCTATATTTCAAAAGCAGAAGCGCCACAGAGAACATGGGGCGAGTGGGGGACTCAACTGGGGGATCCCGCTCGCCCTGTGTTCCCACTGTGGCACTTCAGCCTTTGAAATGTACAAGAGCCCCACTGAAGTGGCTGCAGGGAGCACATTTCAAAAGCAGAAGTGCAGCAGCTGGAGCCGGCATGAGCATAGACTGTTTCAGTCCCTGCTCGTGCTGTTTCCCCATTGTGCCGCCCACAGAGAGACAGTGCTAGGGGGGAATCTGGCTTTTAAGCTGGCTTCCCCTAGCCCCAGCTTCTGCACCCCCCCTTGCTGCCTCTCTCTAATAGAGGCAGCATGGGGGAGGAAGCAATTAGTTGCATCAATAGTCGACTATCCAATGAGCTTATGCTTATAGGATAGTAATAAGAAAAAGTGAGACTCTGGCTCAGTTCATTGTTGAATAGCAAAGAGGCAGGAGCTAACTGTCTGCCTGACAGAGGAAGGGGTACTAGCTTGCCATCCTAGGCAGCCACCAGGGAGTAAGTACTGTCTCCCTGAATGAGAGCGTGTAGGAGACCTAGGAGTCTCTGGCAACTGAGGTGACTGAAGTATAAGAGACACTATGGGGTTTGTTCCCACCAAACATATAGCTGCCTAATCCAAAGGAGGCTGGAACCCTGGTAAGGCACCACTCAAGGTCCATGAAGGGGTGCTACTGGAAGAAAGACACTGCAGTGAATAGGACTACAGGGACCAAACTAAAGGGATAGTCAGGAAGAAGTAGTCCAGGGCAGTGAATTTAGGTCACCTCCTGAGATAGTCCCCTATTCAGGGGTTGTCATTTGGTAGATTTAATCAATAAATACAATTAACATATTTAACTTACACAGTACAAAATGTTGTCAGGGTCATGTTAGTTTTCCTGGGAATGTGCAAAAAGTGACATTGTGTTTCTCAATGTGGGTAACATTATTTCACCTCATCTGCGGGCTTCTGACACCAGTTGGCAGTTCTCCATCATATCTTATTTAAATGTACAAAAAGTAAAAGTACATATGATGTAGGTATTTGTAGGGTGGGTTAATTAAATTCCAAAAATATGGCCCTTTTGTGGATAATACAGAATGCAAGGAAAAAAACTCCACAGTGTGTTGACTCTTAAACCTACCCATTGAGTAACATTTTCAAGTAATTGAAATATACAATTGTGTGTTTACTTTGCATGAGCACGAATAGGAAAATGGCACATGCAAATAGCCATATAAATGAATGGCAGAAATTTTTAGCTCAAAGTTTAGTTACTGCCTAAGGTCCATGTTCTACCCACCAGCTTTTTATAAAACTCTCATTACTATTAGTAGCCAATCTACAGTGGATCAAAAAAATGAATAACTAATTTAAAATGATCAGTGAAACATATACCCTCTTCACTTTAAAATAAGTTATCTACTGGAATAGTTCAGCAAGGAATGGCTATCGGACACCATTACACGGAGAAGTGCACTATATAAAAGAGATTTGTCTAACTTCCATTAAAGTCAATGGGAGTCTTCCCATTGACTATGGGGGAATTTGATTCGAGTTCATAAAGCCAGATCTAAAGGTCACAGAAGTTGTTAGGAGTCATTTCAATTATTTCAAAAGGGCTTTGGATCAGACCATTAACGAGGTGAAATACAAAACCAATAAAAAGATTACCAGGAAGGTGACAAACAACAGGGATCCCTAATTTTTTGAGGTCATCTGCATTTCCAACCCCAGACAACATAAGCAGTTGTGGGGAATTTATGGCACCTCCACATAAAATCACTTCCTTACTGGCAAGAGCCTGAAAATTAAAAATAAATTTTAAAGATTATTACAGGCTTGATTTTAGAGTACAACCCATATTTCAAAGAGCTTTTTTAAGAGGTGCTATTTCTTTGGAATCATGCCAGCTGTTTCTGACCAACTTCTTCTCTCAAACACATGAGGCTCTCATTAAAGTCTATAAAAAGGGAAATAAGAACAATCCAGGAAACTACAGACCAGTCAATTTAACTTCTGTGCCAGGAAAGATAACAGAGCAAGTAATTAAGAAATTAATCTTCATATATCAGAAGATGTAAACAACAAATCATGTCGAACCAATCTGATGGCTTTCTTTGATAGGATAACAAGTCTTGTAGATAAGGGAGAAGCGGTGGACGTGGTATACTTAGACTTTAGTAAGGCATTTGATATAGTCTTTCACAATCTTCTTATCAAACTAGGGAAATACATCTTAAATGGGGCTACTATAAGGTAGGTGCATAACTGGCTGGATAACTGTTCTCAGAGAGTAGTTATTAATGGTTCACAATCATGCTGAAAGGGCATAACAAGTGGGATTCCGCAGGGGTGTTTTGGGATTGGTTCTGTTCAATATCTTCATCAACGATTTAGCTATTAGCATAGAGAGTATGCTTACTAAGTTTGCAGATGATACCAGCCTGGGAGAGCTTGCAACTGCTTTGGAGTATAGGGACATAATTCAAAAGGATCTGGACAAACTAGAGAAATGGTTTGAGGTAAATAGGATGAAGTTTAATAAGGACAAATGCAAAGTACTCCACTTAGGAACAATCCGTTTCACACATACAGAATGGGAAGCAACTGTCTAGGAAGGAGTACTGCAGAAAGGGATCTAGGGTTCATAATGGACCACAAGCTAAATAGGAGTCATCAGTGTGACACCGTTGCAAAAAAAGCAAACTTGATTCTGGGGTGCATTAACAGGAGTGTTGTGAGCAAGACATGAGAAGTCATTCTTCTGCTCTACTCTGCACTGATTAGGCCGCAATTGGAGTATTGTGTCCAGTTCTGGGCACCACATTTCAAGAAAGAAGTGGAGAAATTGGAGAAGATCCAGAGAAGAGCAACAAGAATAACTAAAGATCAGGAACAAAATACAGGACTATGTAGCACTTTAAAGACTAGCAAGATGGTTTATTAGGTGATGAGTTTTCGTGGGCCAGACCCACTTCCTTTGATCTGAATGGTCTTAATCTTGGGGGGAGCTGCTGCCTTTAATTGAAGATTCTGTGACTTGCCATAAGAGCAAGTGAGTCCCCATAAAGAGGCAGAGAGTGATGGGAAGGGAGCTAAGTGCTCATGCCTCTTCAAATATTTTGGCATGATATATTTGTCATACGTATCCTGATTACTATATACATTGAAGCCTCTGCTATGGCAGCATAAAGAGATTCCAAAAATGTTTGTAAACATAGTCTTCCTTCAAAGTCCCTTTTCACTACCACAGTTGTATAATTGAGCCTTAGTCTAAATAGGAATCACATTCCATATGTTTAGTAAAATGCAGGACAATGTAGCACTTTAAAGACTAACAAGATGGTTTATTAGATGATGAGCTTTCGTGGGCCAGACCCACTTCCTCAGATCAAATAGTGGAAGAAAATAGTCACAACCATATATATATATCCTTTGGTAATAAACCATCTTGTTAGTCTTTAAAGTGCTACATAGTCCTGTATTTTGTTTCAGCTACACCAGACTAACACGGCTACATTTCTATCACTAAAGATCAGGAGAACATGAGCTGAGGGAACACTGAAACAGTTGGGCTGGTTTAGTTTGGAAAGGAGAAGTCTGAGGGGGGACATGATAGCAGTGTTCAAGTATCTAAAAGGGTTTCACAAGGAGAGAGAAAAAATTGTTCTCCTTGGCCTCTGATTATAGGACAAGAAGCAATGGGCTTAAACTGCAGCAAGAGAGGTTTAGGTTGGATATTAGGAAAAACTTCCTAACTGTCAGGGTGTTTAAAGACAGGAATAAATTGCCTAGGGAAATTGTGGAATTTCCATCTCTAGAGATATTTAAGAGTAGGTTGGATGGACATCTATCAGGGTGGTCTAGATGGTGCTTGGTCCTGCCGTGAGGGCAGGGGACAGGACTTGATGACCTCTCAAGGTCCCTTTCAGTTCTAGTATTCTATGAAAGTCAAAGACAATTAAGCAACTTTTGCCCTGCATTACTAATGGAAAGCATCATTTTAATTCCATTAGAAAAGAATAGACATGTATATCAAAAAACAATTTTTTAAAATGATCTTTTACATATAGCAGGTGGTCAGTCACCCAATACACTCTGCAAATACCACAAGTGGGTGTAATGAACTTCAGTGAACTCAAACTGTCAAGATTTGTGCTCTCCTCTCTGGTTTATTATTATTACATCATTTCAAATTTGTTATTAGAACTTTAAAATATTTTAATACATCTTAGGTAATTACATACAGGCAGTCCCCAGGTTACATGGATCCGACTTACATCAGATCCCTACTTACAAACGGGGTGAGGCAACCCCGCACTAGTTGCTTCCCCCCAGCAGACCAGGGAGACGGGAAGCTAGCGCCCCCCCTCCAGCAGACCAGGGAGACAAGGAGCAGCTTTTCTCAGCAGACACCTCAGCTTGAGAATAAAGGACTGAGGGAAGTGAGGTGTGGGAGAATAAAACTGAGCTCTGGAGAAATGTTTGGCTAGAGTATCCCTTACAATATGTACCAGTTCTGACTTACATACAAATTCAACTTAAGAACAAACCTACAGTCCCTATCTTGTACGTAACCCGGGGACTGCCTGTAGTTACAAATGCAATAATATTCAGAAGGGAAGATTAACGGTTTGTCTACTTGGTGTGAGGTAATGCGATCTCTAAAAGAGTGATTTCTAATTGCACTAATATGTTGTGTATTAACTGGTCTGTGTATAACTTGCTTGTGTGCATTAACACAATGCTATCTGAGACAATACTATGTTAAAGCACACCAAAGAACCTTTAATATGCACTAGCAGGATTTATTCAGACCAAATAATGCACAATATATTAGTCCACTTTAGAAATCACAACCTCCTGGAGCACATTACCTCACTGGAAGTAGGTAAGTCTTCACTGAAAGTACTGCTTTTCTTTTGACAGGTATTGAACTGAGAGCCTTGGAAATTGAAGTTCTCTGTTTATCCACGGAAAAACTAAGAATTAATGGTAGTTACTCATTGCTTTGCTAATATTCCTCAAACCTGACCTAATGTCAAAGGTCAATGTCAAAGGCCCGAATACCATTCCATTCTTGGCCTATGTGCTGAAACTACCCATGCATGTCCCTCTGGTTGTGACGATTTCTGTGATATGGATACCACATCAGTGGAAGTTGGAGTGAAATCACAAACCCACTTGACACAGGTCACCATATAGCAATAAGACAATTAGGGTATGCCTATTTTGCAGTGGAGAATGTACAGTACATTCAGTAAAATACCCAATATGCTGTAACTGTGCATAACTATAGGGTAGGTTCCAATTTCAAATCTCAAGCATAACCTTTCCCTTTCTACACTCATCCATTTCCTTTTTCAGCACAGAGAAAATACTGATGCCTGAAACGATACAAGGGAAATATTGTATTCCTTAACATAATTATCTAACAAATAATCATATTCTTGAAATGGAATAGTGTTTTTGAGCTATAGTATTATATTTGAAAAGTGTAATTTTTTGTACAAAGGATGTTTTAATCTTGGTAAAGCTTACAATGGTACGACTGTGCTGCTGTAGCCACATCATTATAAGAAATCTCTGTGGAAAAATAAAGCCACTTCTAAAAGGTGGGGCAGGCAGTAGCTTCACTGCGAGTAGCATGTCTCCCAATGATGAAGCACTGTCCACATCAATGCTTTTCGTTGCAAAAACTTTTGTCATTCGACAGGTGTTTTTTCACATCCCTGAGCAACAAAAGTTTTAGGGATGAAGGTGCCTGTCTAGACATAGCCTTAGTTTTTATTTTAAATAAGGTTTATTTTTCTTTCCATTATTTCAGGAAGAGAAATAAAAATGCTTACCTTTTTCTTTTGTCCATTTTTTACATACTCAACACCTATGGCTTTTGTTCCTTGAAACAAAATTTTTGTTACAAGTGTTCTATCTTCTGCAGATAAATTTGGGCGTGTTATGGCAGGGTGAAGGTAAGCACTAGCTGTGCTCCATCTTTGACCTACAAAAATACAGGTTTTCATTTAACATCTGCAAGCATCAAATAGTTCATGCCCCTTCATCTTCAAGATATTTTCTTGTCTTTTTTTCTCATACAGGAATAAGAGAAAGGTGGCACATTTACAGTTCAGAAGAAACAAATTAAAGACTAAAGGAATGAATGCGAACAGATGATAGCAGCATTATGAAATCTCCTCTTCTTTCTAAAGACTTCTATTTTGAAGTCAATGAAAATACTGTCATTGAATTCAATGCAAAATGGATTTATGTATCACTCTTGTATGTAAAGTTAGAGATATGGAGTATAGAATGGTTTATCATTTTAAGCGTGCAAATGAAAGCCATCAAGGGTGTTTCTCTCAATGTTTGGGTGGTCACCTGTAAACAGCCTCATTTGTCCTTTAAGACTAAGCAATGGTTGGTCTTAGGAAGTCATGTGACACCCCCGTCCCAACTGGTAGGGTCTGATCAGGTAATTTTCCATGGAAGGGGAGAATGTGAAACAAAGAATTCCCACCTAAAAAAGGATGGCTATTTAAGATACAAAGTTTTTCAGTCCCTTAGTCTCTTTTAATAAAGATGTTGAGCATCCCTGAAACCAGAAGCTAGGCCCGCTGACTACCTACTGTATCTCTATACCTGCAACTTTTCCCTTAAATCAGTAGCCCCCATCCATTTGAGCCTGCCAGGCACCAGGGGGCGGGGACACTTGCGTGCCCGGGAGCGGGGCCCCTCCCCATAGCTGTGCGCCCGGCGGTGGGCCCCCCCTCCTATAGTCGCGTGCCCGGGGACGGCGCTCACCGTGCACCATGCCCGGCTCCAGCACCATGCATGCGCCACGTGCCGGGGGCTAGGCCAGCCCTGAACACTTGGCGGGCGCACACAAATGGCCCCGCGGGCACCATGTTGGGGATCACTGGGCTAGCATGTCACTCCCAAGAAAATGAACCAGAGACCCCAGGTGAAAAGGATCTTCTCTGGTTTGGAGGCTTAGCTGAAATAAGAACAGTTTTAGAGTAAGTTTGTTCTGAGTTTTTAGTGTTAGAAGTAGCTATGCATTTTCTATTTTAAATTTGTAATCTACTTTGCTCTACCTGTTTTCACTTGCAACCACTTAAATCCTACTGCTTGTACTTAATCAAATCACTGTTATTTACTATAAAACCCAGTGTAAATAATTGTTACTGGAGGGAGCAATCAGTGAGTACATCCTCCTTTCATTACTAAAGGGGACTTACCTGAATAATATATTTGGGGTTCTGACCACTTTTGGGGAATGGTTTCCCTGGAAGTTGGTCCCAAAACTGCATTCTCCTTGGATCTGAAGAGAATCACTGTCTGTATTTCCCCTTGGGGGAGCAGTGATCTCAGCTCTGTGCCTTGGCTTGGGGAGACCAGGAGATTTAGCCCAGCAGAACAGGGCAAAGCCCCAAAGAGCGAGGTGAGTGCCAGTGGCTTTGTCAGCACACTGGGAAGCACCCACAAGGGGTTTTCTGCGACTGCACCCCATCACAGGATTGACCCTTAAATACCCATTATAAGTTAGATACCTATTCGCTCCTAAAGTAACTCCTTAAGATTTACCTTTGTGTATAGTCATATCCATCCAGCCAAATCCCTCTTGTTGGTAACCATTCATGTCATCTGTGAAAGGATAGCCAGCTTGCTGGGCTGCATCCAGGAATGCATGATGAAGAGGGTGGTTTGTCTTTCCCCTTGACACATGCAATGGTCCAGTCCCACCTCTGTATAGATTAGGGCCCAGCTCATGAGTCTGTGCCTTCTTAAAATAAGGGAGGCAAAAATCATAGTCCCATCCCAAGGCACCTTCTCTATGCCATCGATTGTAGTCTTCTGCATGCCCCCGAATGTATACCATAGCATTGAGAGATGAGGAGCCACCCCACACCCTACCTCTGGGCCAGTACATAATTCGATTATCCATATGCTTTTGTGGTGTTGTGTGGTAATGCCAATTATATTTGTCATCACAAAGATTATAGGTTAATGCAGCAGGCATATGAACCTTCCACATTAATCTTTTACTACCTAAAAGGGTGTCTTTTGGGCCTGCTTCCAAAAGTAAAATGGTACTAAGAGGGTCTTCACTCAATCGGCTACCTAATACACACCCTGCTGATCCAGCTCCAACAATGATATAACTATAAGATTCTGCATTTTCAGAGCTAAGTTTAGAAAAGGTATGTGAAGATTTTAACCGTTGTCCACTGTAGGACAATAAACTTTTGAATATGGGTGTTTTAAATGTAAATCCTGCTACTTTGTGAATTGAATTGACATAAGGACCATAATATTTTTTAACTCCTTTGATCAAATGAAACATCCTTTCTTATATACGCCTTCTCTTTTTCAGAGCTTCTTGTTCCATACAATGCAATATCAAATATCTTGTCCTAGAAAAGGAAAAAGATCTTAATTGTGTTGCATATAGTTCAACCATCATAAAGGACTCAACATGTGACCTAAAATTCTGGTGCATCATTTTAAAAGAAAGCTGACAATCCACATCAATTATATGGCAATCCATAAGGATAACTGCAGTGCACAGGTACAGAGAAGCAATTTGCTAAAGCTCACACAACTAGGAAATGGCTGAATCTAGAACAGAATGCAGGTGTCTTCATTTCCAGTCTCCTGCCCAGTCCATGTAAATATATATACACACACACACACACACACACTATCTATCTATACATATATATATACACACACACACACACACACACACACACACACACACACAGAGGCTACGTCTACATTGGAATGATTTTGCACAAATACTTTTTAACGCAAGAGTTCTTGCGTTTAGAGTATTTGCTCAAGAGAGCATCTACACTGGGCATGGATGCTGTTGCGCAAAAGCACATCTCTTGCGGAAAGGCACGTGCCAGTGTAGATGCTCTCTTGCACAAATACTCTAAACGCAAGAACTCTTGCGTTAAAAAGTATTTGCGCAAAATCATTCCAATGTAGACGTAGCCTGTGTGTGTATGTATATATATATATATGTATATTAGTATTTGGAGTTAGAGTATTTGCACAAGAGAGCGTCTGGACTGGCATGCGCCTTTGCGCAAGAGATGTGCTTTTGTGCAACAGCATCAATGCCCAGTGTAGATGCTCTCTTGCACAAGAAAGCTTCAATGGCCATTTTAACCATCGGGCTTTCTTGCACAAGAAATTCATGTTGCCTGTCTACACTGGCCTTGTGCGCAAGAACAGTTGCGCAAGAGGGCTTATTCCTGAGCAGGAGCGTCAGAGTTCTTGCACAAGAAGCACTGATTTTATACATTAGAACGTCAGTTTACTTGCATAAGAACACGCAGACAGTGTAG